AGTTGCAAATATATATATATATTTATATATATATATATATATATATTTATATATATATATTTATATTTACATTTAATCATTTAGCAGACGCTTTTATCCAAAGCGACTTACAAATGAGAACAATAGAAGCAGTCAGACCAACGAGAGAACAACAACAGTATACAAGTAGCATGACAAGTCTCAGTTAGTCTAGCACAGTACACACACGTAGCTAGGGTTTTTTTTTATTTTTTTATAATACAATGGAATATTTAGATGTTTTTTGAAAATGGCTAAAGACTCAGCTGTTCGAATTGAGATCGGGAGGTCATTCCACCAGCTGGGCACAGTCCAGGAAAAGGTCTGTGAGAGTGATTTTGTGCCTCTTTGGGATGGCACCATGAAGGCACCATTCACTTGCAGAACGCATGCTTCTGGAGGGTGCATAAGTTTGAACTAGCGAGTTTAGGTATATTGGTGCAGCTTTAGGTATATTGGTGGAGTTTAGGTATACAGTTATTGTCTTGTAGGCAAACATCAGTACCTTGAATTTGATGCGAGCAGCTACTGGTAGCCAGTGTAAACTAATGAAGAGAGGTGTAACGTGAGCTTTTTTCGGCTCGTTGAAGACCACTATTGCTGCTGCATTCTGGATCAGTTGCAGAGGCTTGATAGTGCATGCGGGAAGGCCCGCCAAGACAGCATTACAAGAGTCCAGTCTGGAGAGAACAAGAACGTGGACAAGAAGTTGTGCGGCTTGCTCTGACAGGAAGGGTCTATTCTTCCTAATGTTGTATAAGGCAAATCTGCAGGACTGGGCCGTTGTAGCAATATGGTCTGTGAAGCTTAACTGATCATCGATCACAACTCCTAGGTTTCTGGCTGTCTTGGAAGGAGTTATGGTTGACGAACCTAGCTGTATAGAGCAGTTGTGATGAAACGATGGGTTTGCTGGAACCACAAGCAGTTCTGTTTTAGTAAGGTTGAGCTGAAGGTGATGGTCCTTCATCCAGCTAGAAATGTCTCTCAGACAGGCTGCAATGCGAGCAGCTACCGTCGGATCATCTGGTTGGAATGAGAAGTAGAGTTGAGTGTCATCAGCATAGCAGTGATAAGAAAAGCCATGCTTCTGAATGACAGATACTAATGACGACATGTAGATGGAAAAGAGAAGTGGTCCAAGCACTGAGCCTTGAGGAACCCCAGTAGCAAGAAGTTGTGAC